CTGCCTCTCTCTGTCAAGTAAATAAAATCTTTAAAAAAAAAAAAAAATGCTTGTTTCTGTAAGAATTTTTTTTAAGTCTAGTGCATTTAAATTATTTGGAGTGCAATTTCCTTGGGGTGCCTGACTGGCTCAGTCAGTGGAGCACGCCACTCTTAATCTTGCGACTGTGGGGTTAAGAGACTGGGGGGTAGAGATTACCTAAAAAAATAAAATCTTAAAAAAAAAAAGTGCGGGGCACCTAGGTGGCTCAGTCGGCTAAGCGGCTGCCCTTGGCTCGGGTCATGATCCCAGGATCCTGGGATCGAGCCCCGCATCGGGCTCCCCGCTCAGCGGGAGGCCTGCTTCTCCCTCTCCCTCTGCCTGCGACTCTGCCTACTTGTGCTGTCTCTCTATCTCTCTGTCAAATAAATAAGTAAAATCTTTAAAAAAAAAAAAAAGTGCAATTTCCATATTTTCTGGAAATTTTAGAAATACTTGATGTAGACATTTATTCAAGTCCACAAGCTGATCAGAACAGAGTTTCTCCAACTTAAGACACTTTACAACCTAACTCCCCAATAATTAAAGAAATTTGTTTCACATTTATACAATGAGAGGCAAAGGCCTTTCTGAACTACAGACAGAGAGAGCTTGTGGCATCAATTCTACATCAGCTCCAGGTTGAGAGTAACCATAGATACACAAAGACTTACTGGTTCAGATGTCAGAGTTGTTCTTCCTGGTGGACACAAAATTCTGAACCAAACTGAACTCAAGAGACTAAGGACACAGTAAAGTCCAACAATCCAGCCTCTCCGTCATCCCCCATTCAACAGAGAATCCATTTGTCCATGGTGAGACCACAAAGCCAAATCTTTGATCACTGATGCCACCACTGGGAATAATTGATCTGCATGTGCAAACCAGAAACCAAAACAAAACAAAGTCAGGAGAGAGAGGGAGGGAGACACACACACATTTGGCAAAGTCAAGAAACAAGTTCTGCTTAGCTACTGCCTCTGGCAGGTAAGAAAATATCATGTGGTTAAGCGTCTGCCTTCGGTTCAGGTCATGATCCCAGGGTTCTGGGAACAAGTCCCATGTCAGGCTCCCTGCTCAGCGGAGAGTCTGCTTCTCCCTCTGCCTGCCAATCCCCCTTCTTGTGCTCTCTCAAATAAATAAAATCTTAAAAAAAAAAAAAAATGAAGAAAGAAAGAAAAGACTATGTGAATCCATTGGGCATGCTTTTCAGTGGATGACCTCCCAAACCGCTAAATAAAAGAAAAAAAAAAAGTGAAACCATGACTTTTGTACAAATTTAAAATGGACACGTGTCCGAGATTTCATTTAGCTCTCTAATTAATGAACTAATAAGAGGATACAACAGTTTTCTAAACAATGTGGATTTCTAAGGTGCCTGCCAGTTCTCACATCCGCTTTTATGAAAATAAAACCAACAGTGTAGAGCTGTATGAAAAAGTCCTTCCCTTCAAGTGGGGTGAAGTCCAGTTACTTGGGGTGGATAGGGTCAAGGCAGAGCCAGAAAGACAGTCCTAACAACCCTGGGTGGCTCCGACCCAGATTTCCTCCTTTACTCAGTCCACAACAGGACCTCAATGGCTTCCCTAAGCCTCTGACTTCTTCCTTTGGGTTTTGACTCTTACCAGTTTTCCCACGGGCTCTTTCTGACAACTCAAAGCAGGGAGGGTGTTGCCACTCTCACCCAAAACACATTTCTGTAAAAGGTACACTTTCACTCACCCGGCCCAACTGGGTCTACCAGGATTGGAGGAAGCTGGAGTGTAGGATACTGGTCCCTCTCTAAGCTCCCAGCCCCTCATTCTTCCCCACAGACACAGAGGAAAAGTCCTTAGAAATTCAAGTGCTCTGATTCTGTTCCCCCACATTTCCATCTCAAAGGCATGGGAACCACTGATCTAACCCAATGGTTTTTAACCCTGGCACACAGGAATCAACTGAGAAGCTTTAAAACATACTGAGTTGACATGATCTGACATGTAGAAAAGCCCAAGGAGTCCACTAAAAAAACTACTGGAACTAATAAGTGAGTTCAGCAAGGCTACAGGACGTAAGTATTGCAAGATCAACTGTACTTCTATACATCAGCAATCAACAACCCAAAAATGAAATTAAGAAAGCAATTACCTTTATAACAGCATCAAGAAAAAGAGAACACTTAGGAATACAGTTAACAAAAGTAGCATAAGATTTGTACACTAAAAACTACAAATACTATTGAAAGAAACTAAAGAGCTAAATAAATAAAGCCATGCGATGCTTACAGATTGGGAGAATTATTATGGTTAAGATGGCAATACTCCCCAAAACCGACCTATAGATTTAATGCAATTCCTCTCTGACTCCCAGCTGGCTTTTTTTTCCCCCCCCAGAAAGTACAGATGGCTCCTATAATTCATATGGAAATGCAAGGGGCACAGAACAGGCAATCTTGAAAAAGAACAAGGTGGTGGACTCACACTCCCCAATTTCAAAACTTACTAAAGCTACAGTAATCAAGACAGTGTGGTATTGCAAAGGATAAACATAAGATCAGTGGACTAGCAATGACAGTCCAGAAATAAACTCGAATATTTATGGTTAATCAATCATTGACAAAGGGGGCGAGACCAGGTAAAAAGTTGTCTTTTCAACAAATGGTGCTGGGCCAACTGGGTATCCACAAGCCCCTACCTCACATCATATACAAAAATTAACTCAAAATAGATCATAGAACTAACCCAAGAGCTAAAACTATAAAATTCTTAGAACGCAGGAATAAAACTTCATGACTGTGGGTCAGGCAATGATTTCTTATGACACCACAAAATTAAGTGATATAAGAAAAAACCAGATAAACTGGACTTCTTGAAAATTAACTCCCGGGAACTGGCTGGCTCAGTGGGTAGAGCATGCAACTCTTGATCTCACGGTTATAAGTTCAAGCCCCATGTTAGGTGTAGAGATTACTTAAAAATAAAATCTTTTTTTTTTTTAAAGATTTTATTTATTTATTTGATAGAGACAGAGATAGCGAGAGCAGGAACACAAGCAGCGGGAGTGGGAGAGGGTTGTTGAGGAGAGAGGCAAGGACAAAGGCTGAGCTAGACATTCTGGAGTAGCCTCTGGGATGCCTGTCCTTAAGGCTTGCTGTCACCCAATCCCAGGGGCCTGCCAGCCCGCCAGCCCACTGACCTCACAACCCTAACCCTACCCTCTCTCCAGGACAGGGTGAGGAAATACCTGCTGGAAAGTTGAGAAGAGGTTCCAGTCAAGAGCCCTTTACCTCCTCTACGATAGCAGGGCCTGCCTTGATTCCAGGGTCAAGGGGGTGCTGAGCCTCTGCCCTGTCCCCACCCCTGCTACCATACATAGAGGTGTCTGGGCCCAGAAGAAAGTGGAGGGACAGTCCCAAACACAGTGCCCTCCCTCACCAAAAGTCAGCACCTAAAGCTCAGGATTCCCCAGAGGCTGCAGCCTCCTTTCTGTCTCCAAGGAGCTGCCTGCCGGTGCAGAAGCCCCTCCCAGCCCTTCCCATACGGATCTGACTTCCCAGATGGTGATCCATTATAAGTAACACCCTCGCTAATGCTGAGAGGGGCTGCTGGTGCTGTGACTCATTTACCCGGCTGGCTTTCTCCCAGACTGAGGCACACAAATGCCTCGGACCTCAGGCCTGGTTTACTACTCGGGACCAGAATTACTCAGCCCCAGGTCACTCTCCGGCATTTACTCCCAGGTGGGAACCCTACACCACCTCCCACAGCCTTCCTGACTCAGACCCTATCCCCCGCCCCCCATCTACTACCTCCTCCTCTGCTCCCTTACTCCTGTCATGTCTCCTGCTGTCCCCAAGCCCTAACTGAACAGTAGTCCCCCAGACTTCAGCTGGCTCTCCCTGGAAAGACAGATGAAAACCCCAGAAAAGCCCCAAACTCCCTAAGTCCCTGGGGCTCAGCAGCATTTAAGAGGCTCACGCATTCCCAGCCCACAGAGGGATCCTTTAAAGAGGGATAGATACCCGGGTCACAGCTGGCTCTCAACCTGCCATGCGACCTCCCTTTCCCTATTTGTAAAGAGGGCACTCCCTGCCTTATGAGATTCTTACCCTTCACTTTGGCTTGGCCAGGGAGGGGTATGGGGGGGGTGGCGGTGCGCATGAGAGTGTGGAGATCCAAGCAGAAGCTCCTGGGACATGGCCCAGTCCTGGACCCAGGGCTGTGACCATCCAAACACTTGTCTAAATATGAGCATATACATGAGAAACACCCCACCACTGATGTTTCACATCTGCAGAATTTCACAGAATTCACTTGAGAATTAAAATGAGATAGTTATGCAAATGAAAGCAACTACAGATGCACAGATGCCCCCTGACAGAAAAACAGCAACACCATTGCTGGCCTCAGATAAAAGCTCAGACAGCCCCCCCCCCACCACTACATTACATTTGGCACTCCAAAAACTGGCCGGCCCCTGACCGAGGCCACAGCACTCACTTTCCTAACTCTGAAGAAAGGCACTTTGTTGAGCACAGGAGTGTATCAGCAACTGCAGACCTGCCCCACTGGTCAGCACAGACAGCAGCATGGCAGGAGCTTATTCAGTGCAGGCTTGGGAGCCCGTTCAGATCAGGCAGAAGCCCAGGCACGAAGCTCTGCCAGGATCTCCATGGTGATCCCGACACCCTGGGCCCAGAAGGCACACCTCTCTTCACATGTGGCAGCCCCACTTCCGTGCAGCCCACATCCTTCCATGAGGGCAGCCGGTCTACCAAGCCACACGGGGCAGTTTCAGTCCAGCCACTCTGGGTGTCTGAACGTAACCAGTCCCCTTTTAAACCTGGTCTGTGACTCAGAGAGGGTGATAAAACTCCACCGCCTGGCACCCGTCTCCAACACCCAACACCAAGCTGATAGGATTACCAACGGGAGAGGTTATTTAAAACAAACCACTTCCTCATTTTCTAAGCTGGTGGCTTCTAGAACCCTGGACACAAAAAGCCAACCACGATTTCCATTCGATGGTTGCTTTATGGTTCATCCAGATCAAGTCTGCCTTTCATTTGAAACTCCCCCATTTTGACCTCTGCAGGCATAAAGAGAAGAGGAGGGGAAGGTGGGGAAAGGACTGAACCCCAGGGATGGGAGGCTGGGGAACCTGCTGGGCAAAATCCCACCCAGAGGGTCCACGGCACTGCTCCCTGAAGCTTCATCCTGTCCCACGCACATCACTAGCTGCCTGCAGGGGAGGGGAGTCCACAGAAAGGCCACGGCCATTCTCTCTGCTCCTCGCCCCTTCACGTCTAACCAGTGTAGAGGTGCAGAGGTAGATGGGCCAAATTTGGAAAATGGACTAGTGAGTAGCCTGGAAATCCAGGCAGTGTAATATAGTACTGAGAGCTGGGACTCTACGGTCTGACTCCCTCAGTTGTGACCGTGGGCAAGTTACTCAATGCTCCCCCATCTGAAGAATAAGGATGATAACCTTGCTTCTGATTATTTTGATGTCCAAATGAGCTAACTAATACACATAAAGTTCTTTATGTGTGTATCTGGCCCACAGTGAGCTCTGTATGTTATCACCATCCTCAATTAGCTATCTTTTTCAGACCCCTCAGTGGCTTTGGGCAAGGACAGGTATGGTCTGGGGGGTGGCCAGCCAGGTGGGGCAGCCAAGGTGCGGCTAATGGGATCCTATGCATAGGTAGATAGCTGGCCCCAGGGGGCATCCAGGGCGGCAATGCCCTCCAAAGCCCCAGACTGACAAATGGTCACCAGAGGTACAACCACAGAAAGGACTTCCAATGGCCACAGCTCTAGAGTGAGTCTTCTCAGGAGCTCGGAATCCAGAGCCAGCATCCTGGGTACTACCACCAAGGAACACACAGTCCTTGATCATGATGGTGACCTCCTGTCACAGTCCCTTGCACTAGAGAAAAAGAGAACAGCTCAAATGTCATTCACTGCCCTTCTCAAGCCAAGACTCCTGCCCTGGAAGACTCCATCTCATATCTTGCTCCTCCATGTGGCCTCAGCACTCCTGACAGGCCGTTCTCGTTTGCCAATGAGTGAAACCTGCAGTTCCTCCAATGAGTCTCCCCAGGTTGGCTAAGGCTGTGAGCTTCCCTGGGCGAGGCCTCGGAGGAGGGCATGCAATGCCCCTTCCCACCTAGAGACACCTCTTCCCCGCCTAGGCACCCCTCCCCCAGCATTCCTGCACTGCCCTGAGTGCACTTTCCCACCTTATCCAACTGGCAAGATCCTATTCATTCTTCAGAGTCCCCTTCAGATGGCCTAACCTCCTCAGACAAAACAAACAGCAGCCCAGCCCATGTTCCCAAAGCTCTTTGCAACAAACACACTAAAGCCTACGTCCTGATGTATGACAGTAGCCAGTTTGTCTCCATTCCCATGAGACAGCACCCTGTCCCTCATGAACCACACCACATGGGCACTGGGCACCTCAGTACTCAAGGAAGCCCATGAGAAGGCTGCCTTTAAACCCCACTTATGAAGTGCCTCACAAGGCCTCCTGTGGGCGCCGACCCTGTACCTCTTCTCTCCCTGGGCAGGAGGGACAGAACACACACATGCCCGGCAGCAATGAAAGGCTTGACATCTATCCTCTTCCCAAACAAGGCCTTGCTAGAGCTCTGCCCACCTGAACTTTTAAAACCAGAAGTCCCTTTCCCATTTTCCTTCTGGCTCCAAAACTAGACTATCTTCCAGGAACAGTCACTGATGACTTCCAGTGGACACTCAGGGCCCTGGTTCAAGGTCTGTCTCAAGATGGCACAGACCAGGGGCGCCTGGGTGGCTCAGTTGGTTAAGTGTCTGCCTTTGGCTCAGGTTGTGGGATGGAGCCCCCACTTCCAGCTCCCTGCTCAGTGGGGAGCCTGCTTCTCCCTCTCCCTCTGCTGCTCCCCCTGCTTGTGCTTACACCCAAGCGCTCACACTCTCTGTCAAATAAATAAATAAAATCTTAAAAAAAAAAAAAAAAGGCAGAGACCAAGGCCCAGGAGAGCCTTCCCCAACTCAGAGCCTGCCACTTGCCCCAGATGGGTGGAGATGGAATGTGGACAAACCACATCCTTCAGCAGCTTCCCCAGCTCCCTTCTATAGAAAGAGACCAGCTGAGATGCCACCAAGTGAGGCTTGGGCAGACAGATAAGATTTGCAGGAAGGGCAGGCAGGCTTGGCAGTGGAATTAGGTAGCTGCCTGTAAATGTGGGGGCGCTTTGTGCTGGGTTTCTCACCTGCTCCTCAACCCTTTCCAGACCAATCCAATCCCAGAAGGCCTTACCTGTGTTCCTCAAGCTCATCCCCCACTGTCACCACCACTGTCCCTCCACGACCCCAGCAAAATCCCTGCCAGCCCAGCCACTTTGTAGCTGAGGGCTTTAGGGCTCTCCCAGGGTCCCCTGGGGTCACAAAGTCATTCAACAAACTGACTTCTACCACCAGCCAGTATATGCATGTAATTTCTAACAGTTCTAAGAGGGCTCTCTGGCCACACTGAGGCAGGGGAAGTAGGGAAAAGTGCCCGAGACCAGAGTCCAAGGTCTGCGTCTGGATTTAGGTTCTGGATCTGGTGCTGAACAGACAGATGTGTGACCTGAACTCGTCCCTTCCCGTCGGTTTTTTCCTCTCAGAGGTTGGACCGGCAGCCGCTAATCTCACCGTCTTAAGTCCTCAACTCACCACCCCCGCCACCGCACCCCGGCCGAGGCCCCACAAGCCGCCGGCCAAACCCGAAGACTCGCTCGGAGAGGAGACAATAAAGCCATCTCTAGCCTACCCAAGGAGAGGGCCGCTCTGGCCATTAGCCACTGGAGAGAATCCGAGGGCCGCGCGCGGGCCCCGCTCCCCCTCCCCAGGGTCCCCCTGTGTCCCCCTTCCTCCGGGGGGGAAGCCCTTCCGGCGGTGTCCCGGTCGCGAGGACCCAAGGAGGGGCCCAGGCGGACGGGAGGGGGGGTGAAAGGCTGCCTCGACGCCGGGGGCCGAGGGCCGGCAGGCTCTAACCGCGGGGGCCCACGGGGCGCTCCGGGCGGGGTGGCACCTGGCGGCATCGCCTCCCCTCCCGCCCTCCGGCTCCCACCCCCGGGCGCAGGCGGTCTGGGACTGTGCCTGGGAGGGTCGGGCCGCCGGCGAGCACTGAGCCATCCCGTCGCCCGGCAGGCAGGGACTCCTGAGCTTGCAGCTCAGCGCAGACGGCCGCGCGGGGTAGCGGGGTTTACTCACCCACCCAGCGGCCGTGGCAGCAGGTCGAGAGGCTGGCAGGGGGGCCGGGGGCC